CTCAAAAGATCTAAAGTAAACATTAATATTATCTAGATATATAATGATATACTTTCTAATTAAGTTCTGAAACAGATAATTCATAAGATGTTAGAAGATAACTGGGGTATTTGTTAGCCCAAAAGGTATAAAATGAAACATAAATACACCAAAAAGGGTGATAAAGCTATTTTAAGTTTATCCAAATCTTCTACCTTGACTTGCTAATATCTACTAGCTAAGTCAAGTGAACTAAACTATGATAAATTATTTAAGATATCAAGAAGATCTGGTATACAAGGTAGGGGATAATTATCCTTTTGAGTTACTAAATTTAATTTTCAATAATCAATACAAAATTGAGTTTAACTATTGGGTTTGGGTACTAATACTATTAGAGAGGTTTAAAGATTCTTACAAGATTAAATAAAACCTTTTTTTAATATTCGATTAATTTTAGTCTTAATAATTTTTTTCTTTACAGGTAAATGCTAATAGAGATGATATTTGATGAGTAGAGTATTCCTGATACAAATACAAAGTTTAACTATATTAGTATATTCTAATTTCTAATCTTCCCAAGCAAAGAGAGTTGAATTTTGCTTCAAGAAGTTCTGAAGCTATTGAGAGTACTCTTCTTCTAGATCACCTATATGATAAATATTACTCTTACTAAATTCTTCTTTATAATAATAATTGAATATATCTATAATAGAATCAACTTTCTCAGTTATAAACTTAAAGAAAATATATATATGAAGATCTGGCTTTATTCTTTTTTTTTGAAAATAGGCATTTCTAGCTATATTATATAAACACTTGCTATAGGCAATCTAAGTTTTTTTTTTCTTATTTTAATTAGTTTTTTTATTTTATCAATTATCTCATTAGCATCAGAATTATTTTCATTAAACTAATATCTGGATACTTTATATTTCTAGGCTAATGCATATTATTCAAAATATAAATTACTAGATTTATCTGAATTAGACTCAAGAATTATTGTTGGAGGACTATCACCAGGGCCTTTAATAAAAGAAGATACTATCTTATTATTATAGTTAATAGTTCTTAAAGAATCCTGTTGAGTATAAAAAGAGGCAATTAGACTAATCTTATTACTATCTGAAGTTTTATTTGAAGGTAGTACTACACTATCAGGGATAAATACTTTATAATAAACTAAAGGAAGAAAATTTTTAAAATTTTAAGAAGGTAAAGATATCTTTTTGTATATATAATTTAAAGAGATAGGTTGTAAATTATTATTAATAATATTTTCTGATATTATAGTTAGAGATGGAGTAGGCATATTACTAGAAAAAATTTTTAAATTACTTGAAGTATTAGAAGAACAACCTAATTGGGCTTTAAGTTGAGACGTATAATATTTCAACTCCTCAAAGGGAGTTGATATAAATAAAGTATTAACTTCAGAAGATGAAGAAAAGATTAATAGAATAGTAATTGGAAAACTGGATAGAACTCTATTGATTTAAGAAGATCAAATGAACTAGTACTAGGGGCTACCAAAGTCAATTCACAGGGCAATTAGAACAAAAAGATAGAAGACTAACTCAAAAAAGTATTAATCAAGTTTACTTTATCTTTATGATTCTTAGAAAAATTAATATCAGTAGCATTTTGGGATTCTGAGAATTCTGAGGAATTCAAAAAATAATTATCTTTCTCCAATTCTGAGTGATTATATACTCTTTTTTCTAATTTCTCATCTTTATATTCATCATTATTTAAATTTTCATTTGATATCTTTTCTTTTTCTTTATTTAGGCTCTTTACTTTACTAGGGCAATTTTTACTTAAAGGTTTAGGTGGTAATCTTTTAAACTCAATAGGGACTATACTTCCTAGTCATTCTAAGTAAAAATCATTTTGGCAGTAGTCTAATCGATTTTGGCTTGGACTTTTGA